GCCAAGAAACATGGCTCAAAAATTCCTAATTGAGGATTTTGCTGACATAACTTAGGAGTAACATAGATTCTCTAAGGGAAGCAATTCCAACAACCTTATTTATTTATTTATTTATTTATTTATTTTGACGGGGTCTTGCTCTGTCATCGAGGCTGGAGTGCAGTGGCGCTATCTTGGCTCACAGCAACCTCTGAATCTCAGGCTCAAATGACCCTCCTGCCTCAGTCTCTTAGGTACCTGGGACTACAGTACCAGCCTGTAGTCTAATATTTGTATTTAGATATGCCTGGCTCACTTTTGTATTTTTTTTTTTTTTTTTTAGGAATGGGTTTTTGCCACATCGTCCAGGCTGGTCTTGAACTCCTGAACTCAAGCCATTTGCCTGCCTTGGCCTCCCAAAGTCCTGGGATTACAGGTGTGAGCCACCATGCTTGGCCCCAAAAACTTGAACAAATGGTTTATTATAGACCTAATAAATGTCAGGGACTTACTTGGTAGGTACTGGAGATAACAGCAGTTGAAGTTGTTCTCAAATATAATAGAAATCATGTCATTCCCCTTTTTAAAATTCTTACATGGTTTCCATTATTCTTTGAATAAAATCCAAACTCCTTACTACGGTTCTTCTAGGTCTTGGCTTCTTCTAGCTCTACGCTTTCAGTTGTTAACTCTAGCCATCTTGGGCGTTTCTTAAAGAAACCAAGGTGTTATTTGTCTCAGACTGTTTATGCCTATTCTCCTGTGTTGGAACCATCACCTTCTCTCCCCAGCCCCACTGACTCCCTTTCTTTGCTTGCTGGTTCCTATTTATCTTTCAGGTTTTAGCTTACATGCTACCTTCTCAAAAAGGCCATCTTTGTACTCTGTAAAATGTGTTCCTTCTCTAATTCTCTCTTCTACTGCTTAGTAACACTTACCATTTTTAATTTGTGTTTTTGTTAGTCTCTCCTGAGACTGAGACTGCTTAATGAAAGCAGGGACCATATGTGTCTTATTTACTTTTTATGTACCTACCATCTAGAACAGTTTCTATAAAATATTAATCACATTATTAATACTTGGTGAATGAATGAGCACCTTCTTCACTTGGCTTGTGGGATGCTGCATTCTTTCGGTTATTCTTCCGTTTCACTGATGTCTCTTCTAACCTCTTAACTCATTCTTCTTTTTCTCCCTAATCCTAAACTTTGGAGTTCCTTGTGCCTCAGTTGCCTGCTTTCTTCTCTATTTGTACTAATTTCTTAGTGATCTTTTGGTCTTATGGCATAAATTTCAAGTATACATTAATGACTCCCAATTTTACATAGCTAGCTTGTGTTCTTATGTACAAATATCTACTTGACATTTCCTCTTGGAAAGCTTACTGAAATCTCATATTTAATATGTACAGAGTAGAAGTTTTGGTTTCTTATCTCAAGTCTGTCTCACTTTATTTCAGTAATTACTATTCTTTCAGAAATTCAGAAAATTTCAGAAATAAATTTTCTTTTTTTGTGTGTGTGTGTGTTTGTTTTTGTTTTTGTTTTTGTTTTTTTTTGAGACAGAGTCTCTCTCTGTTGCCCGGGCTGGAGTGCAGTGGCACGATCTCGGCTTACTGCATCTCCGCCTCCCGGCTTCACGCCATTCTCTCGCCTCAACTTCCCGAGCAGCTGGGACCACAGGCGCCCACCACCACGCCCGGCTAATTTTTTGTGTTTTCAGTAGAGACAGGGTTTCACCGTGTTAGCCAGGATGGTATCGATCTCCTGACCCCTCATGATCTGCCTGCCTCGGCCTCTCAAAGCCCTGGGATTACAGGTGTGAGCCACTGCACCCAGCCAATACTGTGTTTTTTTTTTTTTTTGTTTTTTTTTTTTTGAGATGGAGCCTTGCTCTGTTCCCGAGGCTAGAGTGCAGTGGCGCGATCTCGGTTCACTGCAAGCTCCGCCTCCCAGGTTCACGCCGCTGTTCTCCTGCCTCAGCCTCCCGAGCAGCTGGGACCACAGGTGCCCGCCACCACGCCCGGCTAATTTTTTGTATTTTTAGTAGAGATGAGGTTTCACCGTGTTAGCCAGGATGGTCTCGATCTCCTGACCTCGTGATCTGCCCGCCTCAGCCTCCCAGAGTGCTGGGATTATAGGCGTGAGCCACCGCGCCCGGCCAATACTGTGTTTTTAATAATCGTTCAAGGCTTTAAACCTTGGTGTCACCCTTGACTGTTCTTTCACGTCCAGTCAACGAAGTTCCATCAGCACTACCTTAATCCAAAATCTGACTTCTTAATGCTGCTTCTACTTTTACCACTCACTACCACTTAGGTCCTGTATTCCATCATTTCTCACCTGGGTGATTACAGTAGCCTCCTAAGTTTATATCAGATCATATATATCAGATGATGATACTTTTCTGTTTGGAATGCTCCAGTGGTTTCCCATTTCGCAAGGCCTTACCTGACTGCTCTCTCCCTGACCACCCCTGGCCCTCATTATTCTGCCTCCTTACTCAGTTATTCTGCCTTACTCATTATTCTACCTCCTTACTCAAAAGTCCCACTGGCCTCGCTTTTTCTCACAGTGCACTTCAACAATGGTCTACCTCAGGTCTTTGCACTTACTATTATCCTCTGCCTGTATTATGCTGCTAACTTTCTGTATAGCTCAGTTACATTAATATTCTTCTGCTGTTTCCTCAAATATTAGAGAAGGCTTTCCAAACTTTCCTATTAAATTAACATCTTCACGTCCTCTGTATATTTTTCCCATTTTATTTTCTCTTATAGCAAATATCACTGCCTGACATATTTTACTGAAATGTAAGCTCCATGAGGAGAGGACTTTGTTTTGTTTACCATGGTGTTTTTAATATTCAGAATATGCCTGCTTACATAGTAGTTGCTAAAAAAAATTTTGTTAAATGAATAAACTGAATCATGTTGTTTCCAGTGTAGATAGAATAGGTATATGTGATTGAAAAATGAACAGCACAAAGTTAGCACCCCAAAAATGGCAAAGTGGAATAAAGAAACATTTCTGAAGGACATTGTTGAACTGTAATCCCAGCACTTTGGGAGGCTGGGGCAGTTGGATTGCCTGAGCCCAGGAGTTCAAGATTAGCTTGGGCAACAAAACGAGACCCTGTCTCTACAAAAAAAAGAAAAAAAAATGTGCTGGGAATGGTGGCATGCACCTGTGGTCTCAGCTACCCAAAAGGTTGAGGTGGGAGGATCGCTTGCCCCGGGAGTTTTAGGCAGCAGTGAGCTATGAGTGTACCACTGCACTCCAGCCTGGGTGACAGAGCGAGACCTGGTCTCGGGAAAAAAAAAAAAAAGTCTGGGCATGGTGGCTCATGGTTGTAATCACAGCACTTTGGGAGGCCAAGGCGGGTAGATCACTTGAGGTCAGGAGTTTGAGACCAGCCTGGACAACATGGAAAACTCTGTCTCTACTAAAAATACAAAAATTAGCCGAGTGTTGTGACAGGCGCCTGTAATTCCAGCTATTTGGGAGGCTGAGGTTTGAGAATCGCCTGAACTTGTGAGGCGGAGGTTGCAGTGAGCCAAGATCACGCCTTTGCATTCCAGCCAGAGTGAGACTCTGTCTCAGGAAAAAAAAAAAAAAAAAAAAATTAGGCGTGGTGGCGAGTGCGTGTAGTCCCGGCTACTCAGGAGGCTGAGGCAGGAGGCAGGAGAATTGCTTGAACCCAGGAGGCAAGATTGCGCCACTCACTGCACTCCAGCCTGGGTGACAGAGCAAGACTCCATCTCAAAGGAAGAAAACCAAAACCAAAAACAAAGAAAAACCCACTTTTGGAACTCTCCTACCTTTGACTTCTTGTTGTGTTGGATAAATATATACAGGTTGATAATGCAGGTTGTTAAGTTGGATAATATATACAGGTCATATTCAAAATCTGGAATGTTCCAATATCCTACACTTCTTAGCTCTGACATGATGCCACAAGTGGAGAATTCTTAACACAGACTTTTTTTCATTCACCAAATTATTAAAAAATATTATCCAGAATTACCTTTCAGGCTATATATATAAGGTATATATGAAACATAAATGAATTTCATGTTTAGACTTGGGTCCCATATCAAGATATCTCATTGTGTATATGTAAATGGGCCAAAAAAAAAATCCAAATTCCTAAACACTTTTGGCCCCAAGCATTTTGGATAAGGGATATTCAGCTTGTGTCCCCTCCCCCTTTTTCAGCTACATTGAGTTGGATTTTCTGTTCATTGTAGCCTAGGAATATCTCATTTCTTTTCTTTTCTTTTTTTTTTTTTTTTTTTTTGAGACGGAGTCTTGCTGTGTCACCCAGGCTGGAGTACGGTGGCGTGATCTCAGCTCACTGCAGCCTGTAATTCTATGAGTATTTTTTAGAATTATGGATGTGATTTTTTTTTTTTTAAATACATTTATTGGGCTGGGCACAGAGGCTCCCTCACACCTGTAATCCCAGCACTTTGGGAGGCTAAGGTGAGAGGATAGCTTGAGCCCAGCATGGGCAACAAAGCAAGGCCATGTATCTACCAAAAATGACAATAGAAAGTAACCAGGAGTGTGGCATGTACCTGTGTCCCAGCTACTCCGGAGGCTGAGGAAAGGATCACTTGAGCCTGGGATGGGAGGGTGAGGCTTCAGTGAGCTATAATCACACCAATGCACTCCAGTCTAGGTGACAGAGTGAGACCCTGTCTCAAAAAAAAAAGAATAAAATCTTTTTCAGAGCATAATTTTTCCTGATTATCTTTTTAGAAAATGTGGAAATAAAAAGGAAAAATTACATATGTAATTGTATATGTAATAATCACACATATCTGCAGAAATAACCAGATGCATTGAAAAAACACACACATGCCACCTCTTTAGTGGAGCTAATGACATACATTTTATATCTCACTTTTTTCTCTCAAGATTGTTGTTATTTACTTTCTCATCGAGTAATTTATATGTCTGAGTTTTCTAATTTCTTGTTTTGTTGGTTTTCTTTTTTTTTTGCCTTCCTTCCCATAGATCTTGAGCCAGATGATTGTGCATCCATTTACATCTTTAATGTAGATCCACCTCCATCTACTTTAAACACACCACTTTGCTTACCACATCATGGATTACCGTCTCACTCTTCTGTTTTGTCACCATCGTTTCAGCTCCAAAGTCACAAAAACTATGAAGGAACTTGTGAGAGTCCTGAATCTAAATATAGCCCATTAGGTGGTCCCAAACCCTTTGAGTGCCCAAGTATTCAAATTACATCTATCTCTCCTAACTGTCATCAAGAAATAGATGCACATGAAGATGACCTACAGATAAATGACCCAGAACGGGAATTTTTGGAAAGGCCTTCTAGAGATCATCTCTATCTTCCTCTTGAGCCATCCTACCGGGAGTCTTCTCTTAGTCCTAGTCCTGCCAGCAGCATCTCTTCTAGGAGCTGGTTCTCTGATGCATCTTCTTGTGAATCACTTTCACATATTTATGATGATGTGGACTCAGAGTTGAATGAAGCTGCAGCCCGATTTACCCTTGGATCCCCTCTGACTTCTCCTGGTGGCTCTCCAGGGGGCTGCCCTGGAGAAGAAACTTGGCATCAACAGTATGGACTTGGACACTCATTATCACCCAGGCAATCTCCTTGCCACTCTCCTAGATCCAGTGTCACTGATGAGAATTGGCTGAGCCCCAGGCCAGCCTCAGGACCCTCATCAAGGCCCACGTCTCCCTGTGGGAAACGGAGGCACTCCAGTGCTGAAGTTTGTTATGCTGGGTCCCTTTCACCCCATCACTCACCTGTTCCTTCTCCTGGTCACTCCCCCAGGGGAAGTGTGACAGAAGATACCTGGCTAAATGCTTCTGTCCATGGTGGGTCAGGCTTTGGCCCTGCAGTTTTTCCATTTCAGTACTGTGTAGAGACTGACATCCCTCTGAAAACAAGGAAAACTTCTGAAGATCAAGCTGCCATAGTACCAGGAAAATTAGAGCTCTGTTCAGATGACCAAGGAAGTTTATCACCATCCCGGGAGACTTCAATAGATGATGGCCTTGGATCTCAGTATCCTTTAAAGAAAGATTCATCTGGTGATCAGTTTCTTTCAGTTCCTTCACCCTTTACCTGGAGCAAACCAAAGCCTGGCCACACCCCTATATTTCGGTGAGTTGATGGAAATGGCTGCTGGTCGTTTTTCATGTTTATGGGTCGTGGCATATAACTACATTATCAATATATAATGATTTGACCATTTCTCCTCTTCCTATTTTTAAAAAAAATTCTACCAAAAAACTTAATGTTTATTTTTGTTTGAATCTTAAAAATATTTTTAGATAGGTTAAATATAATTTTAAAAGTATATAGCCAATGAATTGTTGATAATAATAAATTACATTTAAAAATCCTGGCTGGGTTTGGAGGCTTCTGCTTTGTATTCCCAGCACTTGGGAAGCTGAGGCAGGAGGATTGCTTGAGCCCAGAAGTTTGAGACCAGCCTGGGCAACATAGCAAGATCCTGTCTCTACAAAAGAATTAACCAGGCATAGTGATATGTGCCTGTAGTCCTAGCTGCTTGGGAGGCTGAGGTAGAAGGATTGCTTGAGCCCAGAACTTCAAGGCTGCAGTGAACCATGATCATGCCATTGTACTCCATGCTATTTCTACCAAAAAAAAAAAAAAGTTTATTGTAAAACTTGGATAATAATATGAATTTAATTACTAAGAAAACTATATGGGGCCAGGCGTGGTGTCTCATGCCTGTAATCCCAACTTTGGGAGGCCCTGCCAGGCAAATCACTTGAGTCCAGGAGTCACCAGCCTGGCTGACATGGCAAAACCATGTCTCTACAAAAAATATAAAAATTAGCCAGGTGTGGTGGCACACACCTGTAGTCCCAGGTACTAGGGAGCCTCAGACGGGAGCATCGCCTGAGATGGGAAATGGAGGCTGCAGTGAGCTGAGATTGTGCCACTGCTCTGCAATCTGGGTGAAAGTAAGACCCTGTCTGGACCACCCCCCACAAAAAAGAAAAAAAAAGAACCTATTAATTACATTTACAGAATCAATTTAATCTATAATTGATTAGAAAAAACAACTTTTATGTATTAAATTCCCACATGGAGTTGTACCTGTTAGGATTTTTGTTTTGTTTTTTTGAGACAGCATCTTGTTGCCCAGGCTGGAGTGCAGTGGTGCAATCATAGCTCACTGCAGGTTCCACCTCCCAGACTCAAGCAATCCTTATACCTCAGGCTCCTGAGTAGCTGGGACTATAAGCATATACCACCACACTCAATTATTTGGGGGGAAAAAAAAAATTTTTTTTTTTTTTTTTGGTAGAGATGGAGTCTTGCTTTGTTGCTCAGGCTGATCTCACTCCTGGCCTCAAGTGATCCTCCTGCCTCAGTTTGCAAAGTGCCAGGATTATAGGCAGTAGCCACTGTGCCCGGCCAGGGGTTTTTCTTTTCTTTTCTTTTTTTCCTTTTTTTTTTTTTTGAGACGGAGTCTCGCTGTGTCGCCCAGGCTGGAGTGCAGTGGTGCGATCTCGGCTCACTGAAAGCTCCACCTCCCGGGTTCATGCCATTCTCCCGCCTCAGCCTCCGAGTAGCTGGGACTACAGGCGCCCGCCACCACATCCGGCTAGTTTTTTGTATTTTTAGTAGAGACGGAGTTTCACCATGTTAGCCAGGATGGTCTCGATCTCCTGACCTCGTGATCCACCCGCCTCAGCCTCCCAAAGTGCTGGGATTACAGGCTTGAGCCACCGCGCCCGGCCTTTTTTTTTTTTTTTTGAGACGGAATGTCACTGTCGCCAAGGCTGGAGTGCAGTGGCACGGTCTCAGCTCACTGCAACCTCTGCCTTCCAGGTTAAAGCAATTCTCCTGCCTCAGCCTCCCGAGTTGCTGGGATTCCAGGCACCTGCCACCACCCCTGGCTAATTTTTTTGTATTTTTAGTAGAGACGGGGTTCCCCCTTGTTGGCCAGGCTCCTGACGTCAGGTGATCTTCCCGCCTCGGCCTCCCAAAATGCTGGGATTACAGGTGTGAGCCACCGTGCCCGGCCAATGCTTTTTTTTCTCATTGAGAATCTTTATTTCTCAATCCTGATCTTTAGAAAAATAGAATTATGGTAATGAAGACAACTTTGAACCCATCCCTTTGCTACTGAAATTTATCTTAATTTTTCTAGTGGTTTGCTTAAGACTGCAAAACAAATACAGAAGTAACTGAGAGTTGAAGTTGGATTTTTTTCAGACTAATAAAAATTAATATCCTTGAATTTCATAGGAGTAGGACTTAAAGCTAGGCTGAGAACATGAAAGGAAACAATGAAATAATTTAGAAATTGTACTTGACCTGTAGACATATGAAGTTTTTCTTTTATAATCCATATTTTAATGTTAATATATCAAAATGAACCTTTGGGCCTTTAAGCAATTTAAATGTTCTTATTGATAAGGTAAAAAAAAAAGTAACATTTAGAGATGCTGGAGTGACGGGCTGTTTTCCAACCAAACATGTACCAAAATTAAATTTTTACTTCAAATTGCAGTATATTGCTGAACAGAAGCAATTTTTCAGAGAGACAGGGAAAGGCACAGTAGGGAGGAAGTAGGGAAAGGAGCAATAGGGAGGAAGTGCGGGAAGTGATAACTTCAATAGGTTGACATCCACAGATATGTACCAGGGAGGGAGAGAGACATCCTGACACGGAGAGAGAGAGGTTTGGATATGTGGAGAGATACTGATACACATAAACAGAAATGTGCCTCTTTGTTTAAAAAAATTGAATTATTATTTTTTGGTTATTTTTGTTAAGTACATACACATAATTGAGAAAAATTTACAGTTTTATAAATTATTAGAATTTGTCTTTTTCAAAAAAAGTGGGAAACCAAAATGAAGATAAGACAGATTTTTAAATTTTATTTTATTTTACTATTATTATTATTTTTTGAGACAGAGTCTCGCTCTATTGGCCAGGCTGGAGTGCAGTGGTGCAGTCTTGGCTCATTGCAGCCTCTGTCTCCTGGGCTCAAACAATTCTCCTGCCTTAGCCTCCCTAGTAGCTGGGGTTACAGGCGAGTGCCACCATGCCCAGCTAATTTTTGTAGTTTTACTAGAGGTGGGGTTTCACCATGCTGGCAAGGCTGGTCTCGAACTCCTGATCTCAGGTAATCTGCCTGCCTCAGCCCCCAAAGTGCTGGGATTACAGGCATGAGCCACCACACCTGGCCTTTATTTTTATTTTCTAAAATTTATTTATCTTTAAGCATGTACCACCTTTGGGAAATAAAATAGATTTTATTCTAAAGATGAAATAATTATTTATTAAGCACTCACCATAACCAGAATTATAACTTACTGAGTGAAGTTTTATTTTGTAATACATTGTTTCAGAGATCAAAGGAAGAAATGTTGGTGCTGGCAAAGAAGCCGTTTGAATCGTTGCTTGGCAATAATAGCATGGTGACATGCATCTTTGTGTGTTTTGTTTGTAGCACATCATCATTACCTCCACTAGACTGGCCTTTACCAGCTCATTTTGGACAATGTGAACTGAAAATAGAAGTGCAACCTAAAACTCATCATCGAGCCCATTATGAAACTGAAGGTAGCCGAGGGGCAGTAAAAGCATCTACTGGGGGACATCCTGTTGTGAAGGTATGAGACTTTTGGGGCTTGTTTTGCAGATACCATACAACTAGTGATGATTAGACAAATCTATTCAGTTAGGTACTAGAGAGTACAAAGAGCAAAAACTCAAAACTAGAGAGCCTCTGTTGTTTTGGGGGCTTGTTGATGTGACTACACTTCTGCATTGAGTTATATTTGCTAGGCTAAAAGATGTTCTTTCGTGGACTGACTTTCCTTCTGGGGAGACTCTAGGGAAAGATTACAGTGGCCAAATAGCTGTTTTACTGACAAAAAAATATGGCCGTATTATATTTATGAATAAAATATATGCTCATTTAAAATTTAATACAGACCGGGTGCGGTGGCTCATGCCTGTATCCCAGCACTTTGGGAGGCCAAGGCAGGTGGATCTTGAGCTCAGGAGTTCAAGACCAGCCTGGCCAACACGGTGAAACCCTGTCTCTACTAAAAATACAAAAATTAGCAGGGCGTGTTGGCAGGTGCCTGTAATCCCAGCTACGCGGCAGGCTGAGGCAGGAGAATTGCTTGAACTCGGGAGGCGGAGGTTGCAGTAAGCCGAGATCGTGTCACTGTACTCCAGCCTGGGCAACAGAACTAGACTCCGTCTCTAAATAGATAAATAAATAAAATCTAATACAGAAAAATAGAAAGAATAAAGCAACAAATTACCCAAAATCTAACCCTCTCAGAAATAAGCAGTGTTAACATTTGATTAACATTCCAGATAACTCTCTATGTATATATTTAGTGGAAGACTGAATGGATAGCTAGAAAAATGATTGGATTTTTTTAAGGAAAGAGATTACAGCTGTAATCCCAGTACTTTGTGAGGCTGAGGCAAGTGGATCACTTGAGCCCAGGAATTTGAAGCCAGCCTGGATAATACAGTGAGACCCAGTCTCTACAAAAAAAATACAAAAAATTAACTGGGCATGGTGGTTGTATGCCTATAGTCCCAGCCATTCCGGAGGCTAAGATGGGAAGATCAATTGAGCCTGGGAGGTTGAGGCTGTAGTGAGCCATGGTCACGCCACTGCACTCCAGCCTGGGCAACAGAACGAGACCCTGTCTCAAAAAAAAGAATTCCTAAAATATCTTTCTAAGGTCACAAAAAGAGATTAAATACATTATTGAGAGATTGAAGTTATTGTTTCAGATTTAGATGGCATGGATTGACTTCTACTCTGAAAAGTAAGGTAATTGTCTTTCTTAAACTTCTTTCACCTTTTCTACTCTTTACCTCCTGAATTTTCTTGCTTATGGTATTTTTCCTTTCAAATTTACATCCTCCCTAACTTCTCCACCAATTATTTAGCCTTAGTTCTATTTCTAGTTAGATGCAATGCTCACTACTACTTCTTTTTTATTTATTTCATTGTTAAGTTTTTTTGTTTTTATGTGAGGAGGGCTTTGGATTCTGTGTTCCATAGGTTCTTTCATGTTTGAAAATGTGTTTTTTGCCTTTATATACTCAAATATAGAAATGACTGTAGATAATAATCTCTTAGAACTGTGTAGACATTTTTCCCTCTTGTCTTAATGGTATTGAATACTGTAGTAGAAAAACTAATTACACTGAAGTGATTTTCAACAAATAAAATCTACAAACTGTCATCTCTTTTATGAGCTATGCTTTATGATTATTATCTGATCATGTTTTATAGTTCTTTACATATAAAGATTTACATTTTAGATGGGTTTTTTAATGATTTGTATTAAGAAATGCCAGGAAAACAAAACATAAGAATTTTGTCATTTTGTTCATGAGTCATATTTTGTTGTTAAATGAGCTTATTTCATTTTGATAAAAGAAGCAGATTTGTTGCTTAGTTTTCTATATCTTTAATTTTCACAGCAATAAACAAATTATTTACAAGTGTATAAATGAACAAGTCCTTTGGGAGGGTACATGATTTGTTTCCACAGTTTTCCTTTAATGAAAAAACTGATGCATGTGCTGTGATCAAAAGCAAAAAACAACGTTAAAAAAAGCATTCTAAGGCTGGGCACGGTGACTCAAGCCTGTAATTCCAGCACTTTGGGAGGCCGAGACGGGCGGATCACGAGGTCAGGAGATCGAGATCGTCCAGGCTAAAATGGTGAAACCCCGTCTCTACTAACAAAAATACAAAAAGCTAGCTGGGCGAGGTGGCGGGCGCCTGTAGTCCCAGCTACTCGGGAGACTGAGGCAGGAGAATGGCGTAAACCCAGGAGGCAGAGCGTGCAGTGAGCTGAGATCCGGCCACTGCACTCCAGCCTGGGCAACAGAGCAAGACTCTGTCTCAAAAAAAAAAAAAAAAAGGCATTTTAAAAGATTAAAAAAAACAAAAACAAAAACTGAGCCAGGAACAATGGTGTGTGCTTGTAGTCCCAGCTACTGGGGAGACTGAGGCTTAAGTATCTCTGGAAGCCAAGAGTTCAGGGCTGTGGTATATGATGACTGTGGCTGGAAATAGCCACTGCACTCCAGTCTGGGCAACATGTCTCTAAAAAAAACAAAAGCAGAACTGGTGCTGTGGCTCATGCCTGTAATCCAGGTGACATGGTGGACTGGGATGCTGAGGTGAGAGGATTGCTTGAGGCCAGGAGTTTGAGACCAGACTGGACAACAAATAAATGAGTAAAATTAGCTGGGCATTGTGGCACACACTTGTAGTCCCAGCTACTCCAGAGGCTGAGGCAGCAGGATTGCTGGAGCTGGGAATTTGAGGCTGCTGTGAGCTATGATTGTGCCACTGCACTTCAGCCTGGGCAACAGAGCGACCCTGTTTCTACAAAAAATTTGAAAAATAGCCAAGTGCAATAAGTAGCTTGTGCCTGTAGTCCCTGCTCTTTCAGAAGCTGAGGTGGAAGGATCTTTTGAGCCCAGGAATTTGAGGCTGCAGTGATCTATGATCATAACGCTGCACTCCAGATTGGGTGACAGAGCAAGGCACTTCTCAAAAACAAAGACAAAACAGCTGAGTCTCTCCTTGAGGGGAGACTACAACTCCTGGTATTAGCAGTTTTTATTTTCTTCTTGTAAGTGACTTTTTGTTTTCTAACTTATTGATTGAAGAATTATTTCTTTATACTTGAAATGATTGACTTAACCAGAGTATGTCTGAATGTTAATAGTTCTTTATCAGTCTTTTCCAGTACTGTTGATGCTCCCTTTCAATCTGAGATTCTTTCTTGCTTCATGGCCAGAAAAAGATGTATATATTTCCTTTTCCTTTTATTTTGTTGTTTACTTAAGTGACTCTAATTATTATTCAAATGTTGGCTTATCTTAGGTCTTGCTATGTTGCCCAGGCTGTTCTTGAACCCTTGGCCTCAAACGATCCTCCCACCTTGCCCCCCAACCTTTTTTTTTTTTTTTTTTTTTTTTAAAGAGATAGGCTCTTGCTCTGTTACCTAGGCTGGAGTTCAGTGTCATGATCATGCTTAACTGCAGCCTCAGACTCCTAGGCTCAGGGCATTCTCCTGCCTCAGCCTCCTGAGTCGGTGGGACTACAGGTGCATGCCACTGCATCTGGCTAACTTTTTAATTTTTTTGTGGAGATAGAGTCTTGATTTGTTGCCCAGGCTGGTCTCAAAACTCCTGGCTTCAAGTGATCCTCCTGCCTTGGCCTTCCAAAGTACAGATATTATAGGTGTGAGCTGCCAGGCCTGGCTGATTTCTCTCTTTTCTTGTGGTGGAATAGTATTCAATTGTGTATACATACCACATTTTAGAAATCCATTCATCCATTGACAAACACTTAATTTGGTTCCATATCTTGGCCGTTATGAATAATACTGCAAGAAACAACATAAATATCTTTTTAACCTACTGATTTCATTTCCTTTGGATATATAATATACCCTGTAGTGGAATTGCTGGATCATATGGTAGTTCTGTTTTTAATTTTTTGTGTAACCTCCATACTGTTTTCTGTAATGGCTGTACTCACATTCCCATAACAGTGTGCCAGTATTCCCTTTTCTCCTTATCCACACCAGAATTTTCCTTCTTTTTGCATTTTGATAAATAGCCATGCTAACTGGAGTGATATTATGTCTCATTGTGGTTTTGATTTGCATTTCCCTGATGATTAGTGATGTTGAGCATTTTTTTCATATACCTATTTGCCATTTGTATATCTCCTTTTGAGAAATGTCGTTTTAGATCCTTTGCCCACTTTTTAGTTAGATTGTTCAGGGTTCCTTGGCTGTTGAGTTGTTTGAGTACCTTGTGCATTCTTAGTATTAGTCCTTTGTTGGATGAATAGTTTGAAGATATTTTCTGCCATTGTACAGGTTATCTCCTCATTCTGTTGATTATTTCCTTTGCTGTACAGAAGCTTTTTAGTTGATAGAAATTGTTTTCTCTGTTTTTGTTGGCTGTGATTTTATAACATTACTCATAAAATCTTTGCTTAGATCAATGTAATGGAGCTTTCCCCCTATGTTTTCTTCTAGTAGTTTTATAGTTTTAGATCTTAAATTTAAGTCTTTAATCCATTTTGAGTTGATTTTTTTGTATGTTATGAAAGATGGGTGTCTAATTTCATTCTTCTGCATGTGAATATCCAGTGTTCCCAGCATATTTATTGAAGAGGGTATCCTTTCCCCAGTGTATGTTCTTCTTAGCAACTTTGTTGAAAAGGAGTTAGCTGTAAATACAGGAATTTATTTCTGTGCTCTCTATTCTGTCACATGGGTCTGTGTGTCTGTTTTTATATCAATATTGTGCTTTTCTGGTTACTGTCATTTTGTAATATATTTTGAAGTCAAGTAGTATAATGCCTTTAATTTTGTTCTTTTTGTTCAGTTAAGCTTTGGCTCTTTGGGGTCTTTGGTGGTTCAATTTAAATTTTAAGATTATTTTTTCTGTTTCTCTGAAGGATGTCATTGGTATTTTGACAGAGATTGCATTGAATCCGTAGATTGTTTTTGGTAGTATTTATTGATACATTCTTATACACAACAACTTTTTTTGTTTGTTTGTTTTTGTTTTTTGAGACAGTGTCTCACTCTGTTAC